TTGCAACTTATTACAATTTTTGACATGCTATACTGAGGGAAGATTAGCTAGTACCCATCAGTTATGCAGATTGTTTATAAATAATATTGCACATTTGGAGTTTTGCAAACAAAGGGCTGCATAACAGACTTAGGTTAAGTGTAAGGAAGAAATTAGTTATAAGAAATGCTAACTATTAAAACTGACTACCCGAGGGAATAAAGATCTTTATAGGTATTCCAGGACATTAGTCATCCATAGGGATGGTTTACTTATGGACCTAGATATCTGTATTCCTTTGATTCAAAACCCCATTTGTTCTTCCTTGTTTCTATACACCAATATTAGCTTATAGTAGTATACTTTTTTAAAAATATACGTTTTTAAAATTGATTTCAGAAAGGAAGGGAGAGGGATAGAGAGATAGAAACATCAATGATGAAAGGGAATCATTGATCGGCTGCCTCCTGCCATGCCCCACACTGGGGATGGAGACCACAACCCAGGCATGTGACCTTAGCTGGAATGGAACCTGGGACCCTTCAGTCCGCAGGCCGATGCTCTATCCACTGAGCCAAACCAACAAGGGCTACTTTTTCCCACCTTTACAAGGCACATGGCCGATGAATTATCTTCACATCCGTCATCATTTCTGCGATTAAAAGCATCTTCACAAAGTCTCTTTACGTAAAGCAGGTAGCTTTGAAATAGCTCATCAGCCCAGAAAAGATGGCAGTACAGAAACGACCTGGAAGTTAAAAACATGTCCACAGACTTTATTCTCTCTCCTTCTGAATGAACGAAGTTAATTTAGAGATAACTAGTATAATTTGTTTCATATGCCTATAGCTAACAGGTATTACATCTACCACACTGTCCTGCTTGTCGTATTTTACCACAGATTTGCAAGATGTTACCACTGGGGGAAACTGGGCCAAGGGTGCATGGGGTCCCTCTTCATCATTTCTTGCAACTGCATTTCAATGACAACAATCTCCAAGTAAAAAGTTTAGGAACAACGACAGCAATGAAACTTGGCTGTCAGATAGCCGACAAAATAGAATTCACTGTCGTCTACCTTGGATTACTGAATCACTCCTCTTTTTGAAAGCAGAAAGTTACATCGAGTGACCAAGGGAATCTCATCCTAGGCTCTTTTTAAAAAAATATATATTTTATTGATTTTACAGAGGAAGGGAGAGAGAGAAAAAAACATCATTGATCGGCTGCCTCCTACATGCCCCCTACTGGGGATCAAGCCCGCAACCCAGGCATATAGTCTTGGCAAGAATAGAACCTGGGACCTTTCAGTCCGCAGGCCAATGCTCTATCCATTGAGCCAAACCAGCTAGGGCTCATCCTGGGCTCTTCATAGCACTCTGATTCCCTTACAGCACAGCATGGTGTACACGTGTACATACACACACACACACACACACACACACACACCCCTACACATTTATATACACACATAACATTATGTTTAACAGAAAATATTCAAATGCAGACGGATTCAACTTAATCATACATGTTATGGAATGTGACTTTCTAATCACTGAGTGAATATTAATTTATGTCTGCTTCCATACTACAATATTTAAAAATAAGGCTTCCTCTTGAGATTTCTATCAAGACTTACCTGCTTCTGTTTGTCTTAATTCTTTTAACAGTCAATTTCCAAGTAACAAATGCTTTATTCATTCTGAAAAAGAAAAAGACTTCTTACAGTCTATATTCATAAGTCACAATTACATCAATTCAGTAAAGGCTTGGAAAAACTAGAAAATTCTCTGGGGCACCTCATCCATCCCGACTCACCTAAAGCAAATACTAAACCGTATCACTTTCTCCCCAAACAATCAACAGCATAGAGAACAAAGTGTAAATGTAAATGAAAGTCATTATAACCCTCATAGATGCATGAGCGATTTAGTTGCAACACTCCAATAAACAGAAAAACTATAAAAATATAGTCTTTCCCCTTAAACATTTACTGGCTATTTTTAAAAGAGACTTATATTCCAAGGGGAGTCAAGATTCTATTTTCAAGTGACAATGAAATGAAAAGGTACATTGATAAGAAATCACTGTATCGCGGTAAGTAAACATGTAAGACAATGCATGTCCTTTTGATAATATTTAATACGTATGCTTTCTTAAAAAGACGCGTTTGTAATATTCGAAACTCAAAGGGAAGGAACTAAAACGTTTCTCTGGTGGTCATTCCTCACCCTTATTAAACTTGCTCGCTGTATTCTGTCTGGAACTTTTCTCTTTTGTGTTTCTTTTCATCAGCCATCCTATTTACAACAGACAGACACACACACACACACACACACCTGCTTTCTCCGTCTTACATATCTTTCTGGCCCTTCTCACTACCTGAAATGAGCTCACTGATTTACTTGTTATCCATCTCCCTCCAGAGACTAGAACTTCTCTAGGGACAGAGTCCTCGTATATTTTTCACATGGTTGCACCTCCAGGGCTCATAACAGTGGAACAGAACAGGCACAAGAAGTATCTGCTCAGTAAGTGAATGCTTTCTCTGCCACAAAACCCATTCACTTGTCTTACAGAAAGTTCTCTAGCTCCTTAGTTATTCCAACTATTTTCACGATATTAAATGTAATCATTTAAAATGTTATTTCTGGACACTTTCTCATTCCTCCTTTGACCTCTACCACCTCCTCCCAGTCCTCACTCTCACCCTTGAACCCACAAAAAAAAGAAAGAAAAGATAAAAAAATGTTATTTCTCTCTTTTCCTAGTCCCCAGCAGATAGCAGCAGACCACAAGAAAAGACACACATTAGAGAGGAAATTTAAAAAGTACAAAACAAGATACAAATCCTGGAAGAACAGCAGTCTGGAACTCCTTTGTGAAGGATCACAGAGTCTCAGGAACCCTGATGTGGTAGAAACTTCGAACGAGACACATTTTTAAATGATGGTCTGAATCAGTAAGCTGCTTTGGGTGGGGGGCACAGGGTGCAACATACAGATCTTGTAACATAGAAGCACACGCCTGAAACCTATGTGATCATGTCAACCAATGTCACCGCAATCAATTTAATAAAAAACAAACTGCCGCCCTAACCGGTTTGGCTCAGTAGATAGAGCTTCAGCCTGCGGACTGAAGGGTCCCAGGTTCGATTCCGGTCAAGGGCATGTACCGTGGTTGCGGGCACATCCCCAGTGGGGAGTGTGCAGGAGGCAGCTGATCGATGTTTCTCTCTCATCGATGTTTCTAACTCTCTATCCCTCTCCCTTCCTCTCTGTAAAAAATCAATTTAAAGAATATATATTAAAAAAAAAACTGCCAAGCTCCTGAATGCTGCTTTATTTTTTCATTAGAGGCTCAGTGCACAGATTCGTGCACTGGTGGGGTCCCTTGGCCTGGCCTGCAGGGATCGGGCTGAAACTGGCAATCTGACATTCCCCGAGGGTCCCGGATTGCGAGAGGGCGCAGGCCAGGCTGAGGGACCCCACTGGTGCATGAATCCGTGCACTAGGCCTCTAGTATGCATATACGATCTTTGTTAATCTCTTCCACCCCTCCCCTTTCCCCCCTTCCCTCTGAGATTCATCAGTCTGTTCCATGTTTCCATGTCTGTGCACTGAGTGTCTGCCCTCTGGTGGTCAGTGTGCATCATAGCTACTGGTCGAACAGTCACTTAGGCTTTTATATATATAGACTAGAGGTCTGGTGCACGAAAATTCATACACTCGCGGAGGGGGTGAGGGTCCCTCAGCCCGGCCTGTGCCCTCTTGCAGTCTGGGACCCCTCAGGAAATGTCCACCTGGGGAGCGGGCCTAAGCTGACAGTCAGACATCCCTCTGGCAGCCTGAGAGCCCTCAGGGGATGTCCGACTGATGGCTTAGGCCGGATCCCTGTGGGCCGCAGTTGGACATCCTTAGCGCTGCTGAGGAGGTGGGAGAGGCTCCTGCCACCGCCACTGTGCTCACAGCCATCAGCCCAGCTTGTGGCTGAGCGGAGCTCCCCCTGTGGAAGCACACTGACCGCCAGGGGGCAGCTCCTGAGGAGCGTCTTTCCCCTGGTGGTCAGTGCACGTCATAGCAACCAGTTGTTCCCGGTGGTCCCATCATTACGGTCAATTTGCATATTACCCTTTTATTATAAAGGATAGTATTTCATCTTCATCTGACATTTTGCATATATGTGTGCTTTCATCATCTCTCACCCATTATAATCTAAGACCTTTGAGAGCTGGACAATTGTTTGGTTTGTTCAACAGCATCTAGAATAATGCCTGGTTTGTAGCAGACTCAATTAATATTCATTTAATAAATAAAGGGATGAAAAACAAAAAGTAAATTAAGGTCATTATAGTCCATTTAAGTTACTTGGCTTTAAAATACCTTTTTCTTACAAGATTCATCCAAAAAGATAAAATTGAGAGTTGTAATACTTAAGTGGGTAAGCTTCCTTTATCTAAAAAAAAAAATGTATAGACATCTCCATTTCCTCTATAATTCCCCATAAATATGGCTTTACGATAGCAAAACACAGACAGCATCCAGCAGATTACTGTTTCAAAAGGATCGTATTAGAAACAATTGGGTTCCATTTCATTCATCTCACCGAAAATTAGAAACGATCTTGAATTTTTGTAATATGTAGAAAAATCTCCTTTCTATTAGCCATTCCAGAGTAGGTATGAGTTCTACATCTTCCACGACACCTATTTTGGTAACCTGCAGATAGAAGGCATGAAAGGACTTTATTTCTTTAAAATATATGAACTATCTTCAAGAAATGAAGAAAGCCTGTGTTTGTCTCAGAACCACTTATCTGTATAATTAAGCGTTTTCTCTCTCTGACCCCCACCGCCTCATCTATAGCCAAACTTGATTTTCTTTCGTTATATATTACCTTTGAAACGAATGAAGCAGTCACAGTCCAAAATTCTTTGCAATTTCTAGCTTTGTGGGCAGAGACCACCTGAAGATTGTATGGATTACAAAAGACGTTAGGGTCTTTCTGAGGAAGGCAATATACAAATTCGCCATCATCTTCCAAAGGTTTCTGAGGTTAAAAAAAGTTTTTTTCATTAACTTGACCAGATTAAGTAGTAAAATGGCTGGACCCATTACTCAGTAAACTGAAATGTCAATACAGATTAAAAATAATATTGAGAGAAAAGCTAACATCAAATTGTGTCTAATCAGAGTTCAACAAGATCAATCTTAAGATTCAATGCATTTAATTTTCATTCTTATATATAATGTGGTAAAAAAAAAACATTCATGAAAATTGATCTGTATGCTTACTCATGCATGCTTATTTTTTTTAAATATATTTTTATTGATTTACGAGAGTAAAGGAGAGGGAGAGAGAGAAACATCAATGATGAGAGATAATCATTGATCGGCTGCCTCCTGCACGCCCCCTACTGGGGATTGTGCCTGCAACCTGGACATGTGCCCTTGACCAGAATCAAACTTGGGAACCTTCAGTCCCCAGGCCGATGCTCTATCCACTGAGCCAAACCAGCCAGGGTCATGCATGCTTCTTAACCCAAAGGACTCATACCTTTGCCAGGTATGTTGCACTTCCAGGAAATCTGTCTGCCAACACCAGAAGCCTTTTGAGCATATGAAATTTATCATTTCTTTTGATGATGATGGTTTAGTATAACTAACAGCTAATATTTGTCAAGCAATAAATAGTTAATGAGTAACAAGTGTTCTACATACGTATCTCTACAACCACAGATTTATATATATATTTTATTGATTTTTTTACAGAGAGGAAGGGAGAGGGATAGAGAGTTAGAAACATCGATGAGAGAGAAACATCAACCAGCCGCCTCCTGCACACCTACTGGGGATGTGCCCCCAACCAAGGTACATGCCCTTGACTGGAATCAAACCTTGGACTTTTCAGTCCGCAGGCCGACGCTCTATCCACTGAGCCAAACCGGTTTGGCTGCAACCACAGAATTTTTAACATATTAACTTTAATCTCTTAAATTTATCTTTTTAACCTCAGTAAACAGATGTATAAATTACTATGTTGGGAATTTAGGTAATTGGAGAAAAGCCACAAAGTCAGAGAGTGGCAAGGTAGGCATTGGAATACAAGGCTGACCCTGAGTCCATGTTCTGAGCTATTGCAATGTACTCTCGTGTCTCTTCCTCGTTCACTTGAGGGCCTGAGAAATCAGACATTCCCCGCTAAGAAAGTTTTTAAGTCAAATTTATTTACTTTAGCTTTGAAACTTCTAACTTTTATTGATAAAACTCTATAAGAAAGTTTCATTTATGGGGGGTGGGGTGGGAAGGGCCAGGGAGAGGTCAATGGAGGGAAAAGGAGACATATGTAATACTTTAAATAAAAAATTTAAATTAAAAAAGTTTCATTTAGCCTTTTCTGGATAATTAACTTTTATTATAAAAGAGCTCTTAGTGTTCCTTATTCTAATTCAGTGAATGATGCCTTCAGAGGCCGCTGAACTGATTAAACAGCTTCCAATGACTGTAATTTTGAATTTTGCATCCAGCTTTCCACCAGGATTTCTTTTTAAAATCACAAAAAGCTGATAAACATGAAGTTAAGAGTACATTCCAATTTCAGGCAGATTGATTTTCTTACCCGTTCCATTCTTTAAATAAGCAAAATGAAGTGATGCCAAATACTTTTTATAAGCATTCACTATGGAACGAGATTATGACTTGACATTAATATAATAATGATTCTAATCCTATATAATAAAAGCAAAGCATGCAAATTGTCCCCTCGACCGGGAGTTGTCCGGGAGTTCGACCAGGGGGTGGGACCAGTGGGGGAAAGGAAGGAAGACCCAGCCGCCAGGGACCCTACCAATGCACGAATTTTGTGCACTGGGCCTCTAGTGTAGTATAATGAATGATACCAAGATTAAGATACAGTTTCAAACATTAACTTTTATAGTACACAGTTGGATAAAATAATACCTTTACAGTAATCTTCTGAACTGTAGTTTCGGGATTCCAGTAATCCAACTTACAGTGGGGTAATTTTGTCTGCCACCCAAGCTTTCTTCTCAGCCTGAGGATATGTCTAATCACATTGTCATCCTCTGGTTCTGGTTGAGAATATTAAAACAAGATCCAATGTAAGTGCCAGTATGGGCATCGCTTAAGGGTATGTATACTAGTCCAAATTTTTCTACCTAGAGAACAAATTTCAATGGCAACTGATACTCAAAGTTTACACCGATGACACAATTGGAGGAGAAAAGATAGCTTAAGATTCAATTTTAACTGAAGCTGGAAAGAAGATGTAATATTTTTTCCATTTGAGAAAGAGATCCCCAAAGTCCTAATGACACAGGTGACTAGCAAAAAAGAGACACTAGCACAGACACACGGTCAGAAGGATCTTCTTAACAGAGGCCTAAGCAGGGTGAGGGCAATGGCGTCAGAAGAGAAGGGATGGCTACGTAAGATGCAGCTCATCCTCCTGAGACTACTCATCCCATTGACACCTTTCAGACCAAATCTTTCTTGCTCTCCTAGCAGCTGACGAAACTCTTCTTGAAACGTTCACTTTTCTTGGCTTTTGTTCGCCAGGCCCTACAGGTTGCCCTCTTGGCTCTTAAATATCTTTTCTCGGGGGAAAAAATCATGGGAGGAGCGTGCCAGACGCCATGCTGGCAAAACGGACAAGGCCCATGAAGTCGTTCAAGATTTCTTTTCCTCCAGAAATCACAAACACTGGCTGATCAAAACCACTCTCTCGCGAAGGATGCAATGGGATTTGAGCGATCGTGTAAGAGTGTCAGGGCCCTGACCGGTTTGGCTCAGTGGATAGAGCGTCGGCCTGCGATCTGAAGGGTCCCAGGTTCGATTCCGGTCAAGGGCATGTACCTTGGTTGCGGGCACATCCCCGGTTGGGGGTGTGCAGGAGGCAGCTGATTGACGTTTCTCTCTCATCGATGTTTCTAACTCTCTATCCCTCTCCCTTCCTCTCTGTAAAAAATCAATAAAATATTTTAAAAAAGAGTGTCAGGAATTTGGAAAGGCGTTGCATGTCAGAGTAAGTTCCCTTTTCAATTTTGTGCTCGAGGCATTGACTAGCCTATGTCCTGTCAGTTGCTTAAACATGGAAACACATTTAAAATAGTTAATTGAAAAGAAAGCTGGTTAACATTAGGTATAAAAGAGAGGAGGAAGAGGAACGGAAAACTAGTATAAGGAAATCGTACAAACTATGTGCGCACGAGTAATATCACAGACTCGGATGTAAAAACATAGAAATCAAAGCAGTGTGATGTTGGCATAGGAAAAGAAAAACAGTTATGACAATTTATACAATACAATCCAGTAAGTGAAAAAGTGGTATTTCAAATCAAAAGAGGAACTGGGAGAGTGGTTAGCCATTTTAGAAAAACATGCAGTTATTTAGGCAAGCATACATAATTATTATAAGGTGGAGGGGATTAGACAAGGGTGTGGACACCACCACATCCATGCGGGTTTTGTGCTATTTGTGCTTAAAAACACATGAAGCCTGGGTAACAAGGGGCCCCAAAGTTCAAGCTTCAATAACTTTATGATGAACCTGCCCTGGACCATGGCACTTCAAGTGAGAAGTCTTTCTTTTTCCTATAAAACTTAAAATATTAATACAAATAAGAATTTCCGATATAGAGAGAGTATAAACTGGAAAATGCTAGTGGAGATAAATCTGTTTAAATGAATTATTTATTTGGGGATTTGAACTTTTTGTCAGACAAAGACGTAAACCTATTAAATGTAGTAATTCTAGAAAGTGCTACTGAAAGCATAAAACAAAACCAAAGTTTATCTTATTTCTAGTTCTATAATCATAACCTTCAGAGATTTGTGTTAAGTAAAAACAGTGATTGAACAGTCTGATATTTTAGGTTTTCAAAAAGATTGTAAATAATTGTTTAAGCAACCAAACACAAAATGCAGTAAGACTGTTTCTTCTAAAGCAGTGGTTCTCAACCTTCCTAATGCCGAGACCCTTGAATACAGTTCCTCATGTTGTGGTGACCCCCAATTTCATTGTTACAAATTGAACATCATTAAAGCATAGTGATTAATCACAAAAACAATATGTCATTATATATCTGTTTTCCGATGGTCTTAGGCGACCCCTGTGAAAGGGTCATTCGACCCCCAAAAGGGTCGCGACCCACAGGTTGAGAACCGCTGGTCTAAAATCATTGTGCAATATACCTAAGCACACAAAACCGCAGCGTAACTTGAAAAAGTATCGAGTCTTCTAAACAAGGAATACCACGCACCTGTCCTATCATAGGATATAAGCCTTTTCTCCTTGGCTTTCGGCGAAGGATAAGTTTGATCCTTTTTTTCCTTTGCTTTCTCTTTCTTCTTCTGGGGAACTGGTTTTGGATCAACAACCTGTTGAGTTCTACTTTCTGGAAGATAATCTGAGAATCAAACCATTATTAAATGAATAACCACATAGTAATCCCACACACCAAGCAATACAGTTGATCATTATATCGTTAACGGATTTACACAAGCTCTGAGTCAAGACACCGTGGTTCCCGGCGCAATTATGAGCTTTACCTCTGTCCTGTGGTTTACTCTGTAAGTGATCGGTCTGTTTTACTATCCCCACCTTTGAAATAAGGATTGTTACAGTGAAAGCCTCATAGGGTGATGTAAAGATTAAATTGGTAAATATATTTAAAGCACACAGCAAGTGCTTTCTAAGGTAAATGTTAGCATTTGATTTTATTATTACAAAAAATGTGAATCCTCATTACAGAATACATACCAAACCCCTTTTTATTAACTGTAATTTGGTAACTGAGCTCAGAAAATGTTTAGATACAAGTTCAGAAAAGTTATAGAGGGCCTGTTTCTCATTCCTCCTATGACTTGCCTGATTGGTGGATTTTTAACATGAAGAAGAATGGGGGAGTTATTGACAACGGGGTTTCTAAAGAGCAAATACATTTTTCTCCTCATTGACTTAACAAATATTTATGTAGTGCAAGGCACCGAGCAACAATCAAGTAGGTGATAAGACACAGAAATGACAAGCAAAACAAAATAAGTACAAATGAAACAGTAAGTTCTATTTCAGCCAATAGTCCCAATTTTGGGGGGAGGGGCTTGTGAAGGGGTGGGGGTAGGGGTGGGGGTGGAGAGAAAGGTGGCAACAGCCAGAAGGCACTGGGATTTAGGAGAATGTTGTCCTCAGAAAAAAAAGATGATACTCGTGAAAGAGTGATGTGAACTGTAAACTGCTACAGGAATGTCCCATGTTCTTGGTGGTGGCAGTGGTATCGCTGTTATTTTTAATATTATGATCAGTAATTAGATATGTTCCCTTTATATTTTTAAAATAAACATGTTTTTCTTGATTTTTGTTTGTTTGTTTTAGAGATAAAGTGAGAGGGATAGAGAGAGAAATATCAATGAGAATCATTGATCTGCTACCTCTTGCACGCCCCCTACTGGGGATCGAGCCTGCAACCCGGGCACGTGCCCTCACCAGGAATCAAACCGTGACCTCTTGATTCTTGGGGCAACAGAACCAGCTGGGTGATTATGTCCCCTTTAAAAAGGCAAGGTTTATATCGAAAGATATTGCTAATTGCTATGACTAAGGAAGTAGTATTTCAATGTATTTCACTTGTTATCTTGACTCAATGCTATAAAACTCCTTTTCATTTCCATACAAGAAAAGATAAGTCAACATGCCTGGACAGTAATCATCTGGGTAATAAACTTCTGTTTTTTCTGACTTCGAGGATGCAGGACATGGTCTACATATCAGTGTTTCGTTTTCTGTCGTTGGAGCTGGTTGATCCTGCGATGGGGTGACACCTTGGTAATTCTGCTCTTCATAGTGAACAAATTTACTATGACAAGGGAAAGAAAATACTATGTTTAACATTCTCTGTAACTTAAAAGCACACGTCTTTATTCTGTACTTTACAACACAGTATCTATCATTTCCAGCGATTTTTGATGGGTGCTTTGATAAGCAGGTCTGATGAGCCTATTCAAATGCTAAACAGGTCTAAGTGGTGTTATCATAAATTTGTAAAGCTGGGACTTAAGAATCCTCACTCTTTGCCGATATGTATGTGTTGTCTGTCTTGTTTGGGAAATATCTCCTTATTCCAAGGTAATGGCAAAAATCTCTTAGATTTTTTCCTAACAGTTTTAAAGTGTAGCCTTTCACGGGTCTTATAACTCATTCATAAGTTCTTAAATCCGTGATTTTTATTATGGTGACGGTCGGATAACCTTTATCGCCTCCTTCAACTTTCTTTGAGTGTTCTGCCCTCTGCATAAAGAATTGCATGCCACTTGAAATGACAAACTATAAGCCAAACAGAACAACCTGGTAAGAATTCCATGCATTGCCAGTCAGATAACTTAAACTGCTCAAGCTTTAGCTTGAAGTTTATAGTTTCAAAAAAATTATTGAATTCTTATATGAATATAACTATTAAAGTTTTTCAAAAGAGACTCTCCTAACCTTATTTTAAAAATATATTTTTATTTATTTTAGAGAAGAAAGGGGAGAGGGAGGAGGAGGGAGAGAGACAGAGACAGAGAGAGAGAAACATCAATGATGAGAGAATCACTGATCGGCTGCCTCCTGCACGCCCCACACTGGGGATGGAGCCCACAACTCGGCCATGTGTCCTGACTGGGGAGTTGAAACGTGACCTCCTGGTTCATAGGTCGACGCTCAACCTTTGAGCCAGGATGGCTGGGCCAAACACACTGACTTTTAGAAAATAATCATATGACGTGTGAGTTTTAAAAGGTTACCAGATGGGAACGTCACAAATATATACATAACTGTAATAAATTCATATACTTCACATGAATGTGAATGTCTTGTAAGCAGCTGAAGGTACCTAAGCTTTTTGCATGTGAAAATGTGGTTAATGTGCTCATAGCTGGAGTAAGGCAACTACTACTGTTTTTTAAGTGGAACTGAATTGAAATATTTTATTTCCAGAAAAAGAAAGGTTTATTCTGTTCAGTTTGCTCCTTCTAATTTCTTAAAGCCAACTATTAGCTCATTAATTTTTCAGCCTTTTTTTTTTTTTTTTTTTTAGCCTCCTCGGTAATTGGCCCGGAGGTGGGCCGGGGGACTCCGGGAAGCCTCTAATTGGCTCAGCCTTTCTTATTTTATCGTATGTTTTATGGCTATAAATTCTTCTCTCAAAACTAGATATCTCACACAGTTTTTACATGTGTCACATAGTTAATGCAGTAAAGGTCCCTTTTTTATTTTACTATATATTCAGTTCTAAGTTTTTCTAATTTCCTTTAGGGATAACTCCTTTCATCCATGAGTTATTCATAAAAGTATTTGTTATTTTTTCAGATAAGATGTTTCCTTCCCAAAGGTATGGGAGTTTTCTACGTACCCTCTTTATAACAGATTCCTAATTTCTCCATCTGCTCTGAACGGCTATTTTCTACCCATATCCATACCCAGAACCAACAGCCTTGGCCTCCCTGGGATTTCTCAAATGTTGGTTAGTTTCTCCCATCCATCAGCCTCTTTCTCTCTCTCTTGGCATGTCAAGGTGGGTCTGGGAGAAGGAGCCAGCAGCCAGTGTTAATCTGCCTATCTCTATAGGTCCCACCCTCCAGGAAAATAAGGTTTTCCAAACTCAAATCCTTACCAACCCTCATGTGGCCTTTACATTTTTTCATTGGCAGACTGACGTACTGCTAGATATACATTGTTAAAATTTTAACAGTTATATCTTATTTTACCTTGATTTTTTGTGGCTTTGCCCCTGATTCACGTCTTTACATATTGTTGTCAAATCAGTGGGTATATATGATGCCATGTTTTTTTTCCGAATAAAACTATGAAGTAATAGGCTGTAAAAAAAAAATTTTTAATGTCAAAGATGATTTCACAACTATGACTATAGGAATTCAAAACTGCACATAGAACCCTGGAAGGTGTTCCCCAGTGGTTAGAGCATCAGCCTGCACACTGAAGGGTCATGGGTTCGATTTCTGGTCAAGGGCATGTCCCTGGGTTGCAGGTTCGACCCCTGGCCCCATTCAGGGCATGTGTGGGAAGCAACCAATTAATGTGTCTCTCTCACATCAATGCCTCTCTCTATTTCCCTCCCTCTCTCCCTCTCTCGTTCCTCTTCAGCTGTTCTCAACCTGTGGGTCACGACCATCGGAAAACACATATAGCATATCAGATATTTACATTACGATTCATAACAGTAGCAACATTACAGTTATGAAGTAGCAACGAAAATAATTTTATGGTTGGGGGTCACCACAACATGAGGAACTGTATTAAAGGGTGGTGGCATCAGGAAGGTTGAGAACCACTGGGTGTGGTCTCTACTGTCTGTCCTTGGTTTTCAGGGTTCCCTCCAGCGAGTCTTCAGTTGGTTATTCAGGGTGTTTTTTCTGTATTTTAGTTGTAATTCCAGTTTGGTCCTGGGAGTGTGTCAGTGTAGCAACGATTTACTCCGCCACCATTTTTAATCTTTCCTCTTCTGGGAATTTATCGGAAGAAACCCCAAAACACTAATTTGCACCCCTATGTTTAGGGCAGCGTTATTTACAATAGCCAAGATTTGGAAGCAGCCCGAGTGCCCATCAGTGGGCGAGTGGATCAAAAAGCTGTGGTACATTTACACAATGGAATAGTACTCAGCCACAAAAAAGGAGGAAATCTTACCTTAACAACAACATGGATGGACCTGGAGTGTATTATGCTAAGTGAAACAAGCCAGTCAGAGAAAGACAAACACCACTCATTCACTTATGTATGGAATAACGAACAAAATAAACTAACGAACAAAAGAAAAATATGCCAATAAAGAAAATAATAAGAGCATTAAGCTTATTTAAATATATAGTTAACTCAAAACAAGCATGGATCAAAAAGAAAATAAAAGTAGACATTACTCATTAGTTAAACCCATTCAACAATGAAACCACTGAACCATTCACTTATTCAAACTTGGATGCAGCTGTAGCAGTTTTTATTTTTTGTAGCAGTTTTTAGAACTTAGAAGAGTATTAAATGCATTTAGTACTTTAAAGACAAAAAAAATAAGTGTTCAATAAAGAAGCTAGAAACTGAACAAGCCCAAAAGAGGAGAAATTACTATAACAGAAACCAAACGATAATAAAGATCAATAAAACTAAAAGCTGGTGAAGGAAAAAAGGAAACGGTACTCGAAAGGCTCTCCCTGACCCCAATTAAGTGAAAGACACGGGCCCAACGACCTTCACAGGTGAGCGTCATCAAAGACGCCGAGGGCAGAAAAACCTTAGGCAGACTCCCCGAAATAAAGAAGAGCTACTGAACTCGTGTATTGAAATTAAAATAGCAACGCTTCCCAAACCAGACAAGAACAGGACACGCACCAAAAAAAATTTACAGACAATAACACTTCTGAACATAAATGCAAACATCCTAAATAAAATATTAGTAAGTCAAATCCAGCAATGCGTGTTGATATATATGTATGTGTGCACGTACGTGTGTGTGTGTGTGTGTGTGTGTGAGAAATATCTGTTTTTACCTATCTATAGGTTGATTGATAGAGTTTATCCCATGAATGCTGGTACAATATCCATGAATGTTGCTAATGTAATTCTCTGTATTAACTTAGAAGTTATGTCTGTGCACATTAAATCACATATATTCATCTATATTTGTGCTGTGTATACATGTATGTGTGTGCATATATTACACAGTAAATGCTGGCAAAGTTTTTCTCAGAGTTCATTACTCACTTATAACTGAGGGGGGGGAGGGACACCCCCAAACTCCCATTAATCTAGAAGAGAGCTCACTTACCTGATAAAGAGGAGACTTGATTTGGGGGAGGGGGGGTGACGATGGATTATAGAATTGTACACCTGAAAGCTATATACTTTTATTAACCAAGGTCACCCCCATAAATTCAATAAAAAGGGGGGGCTACTCCTGCACGAGGAGGGGAAGCCCCTTTAGGGGAGGGGCATTAGTCGGAGGCATGCCTGGTGCACGGTGGGTGCCCCACGAATTCCCACGGCCTGGCACCCACCAGCCCAGCCCCAGGTCAGCACCAGGCCGGCCTGGGCCTGTCCCCCCTCCCACACCCCCACACCCCAAACCGGGCCCTTGCCGCCCAGGGCTGGGCAGACGGACACGAAGGGCAGGTGTCGAAGGGGGTCCCCGCTGCCCTTACCTGCTTCGGCCCTTCCTGGGGCCCAGGGGCCGGAGGGCTCCGGGCGAAGGCGACCCAGAGGGACAGCGCAAGGTCAACGCCTTCTGGCCGCAGTGGCCACCGAGCCGGGCTGCCCTGCACCGGGGCCCGCAACGCCCGCCGAGGTCCGAGCTCCCGCAGGGGCGACTGGGAGGAGGGGAGGGTCGGAGGCCACTGAAGAGGATGCTGGGAGGGTGTGGGCGGGGCAAGGGCCCAGGTGACCTTGACCAGGTGCGCCGCGGGCGCTCCCTGAAGATGCCCACGCAGCCCGGCTGCAGCCCCGCAGGGCGCGGTGCCCGGGGCGCGGGGACACTGTGCCCACCGGTGGCAGCTCAGACACCTGCACCGGCTGCCCAGGCTCACGACCCCCTGCGTGTCCCCCCGCGTGGGGCCTGACGGCGGGAGGAGGCGAGGCCGCGGACAGGTGATTCTGGGAACCCTGGAAAAAAGCGACTTTCTTTCTTTTCTTTGTTTTCCCTCCCTTGATTGGCCTGTTTGCCTTGGGCCGGTCAGCTTTGAACTCGGGAGAACCTCTAACCTCATTCGCAGTGGAGAGCGAGCAATCGGGGTGGCTACTGTGTCCAGGCGAGGCCTTGGGCTTTGGGGTTTCTACCTGTTGTCTCCTACAATCCCGTGGGAGGTGTTGTTACCCCATTTTATAGATTAGCCAGCGGTTCTCAACCTGTGGGTCGCGACCCCTTTGGTGGTCAAACGACCCTGTCACAGGGGTCGCCTAAGACCATCCTGCGTATTAGATATTTACATGACGATTCATCACAGTAGCAACATGACAGTGATGAAGTAGCAACGAGAATAATTTTATGGTTGGGTCACAACACGAGGAACTGTATTTAAAGGGCCAGAAGGTTGCGAACCACTGGATTAGACCAAGAGTTTGCATAACGGGGTCTAAATCTTTCTCCCACGACAGGAACCCATCTGAAAGGCGGGCACCCCTTGGTTAAGCGAGATGCCACGGTGGTATCAACAGTAACCAATTCCAAAGGAAAAAAATAAATTAAAAAAAACTCGGACCCAGAAACGACTGAAGCACAGTATCTATGAATATTTATTGGTAAAAGATAGGTGTTCAAAGATGACTCAACTTCTATTATTGCCTTCACAAATGAAGAGCTGGCTAGCTGGACATTCACAGAGACGTTCGTTCTATACAGAGATAGGTAGCTTTGTGTTACCCAAATGCAAATTTAACTTGGTTTTGAAATCGCGAAAGTAGAACCTTGAGCTAAATGATAACTTCCCCCACGTGTTTTTCTTTAAGAAAGCTCTTGGCTTTTAAAAAAAATATATTTATTGATTTCAGAGAGGAAGGGAGAGAGCTAGAGAGATAGAAACATCAATGATGAGAGAGAATCATTGATTGGCTGCCTTCTGCATGTCCCCCACTGGGGGGGATCGAGCCCACAACCCCGGGCATGTGCCCTTGACCGGAATTGAACCTGGGACCCTTTGGTCTGCAGGCTGACGCTCTATCCGCTGAGCCAAACTGGCCAGGGCCCCCCACGTGTTTTCAATGTTACAAACTTAGATGATACATGGACTCAAGTCTGTGTGGGGAATAAGGCCAAGGTAGAAAGTGGACATATGCACACCTCAGTACCACTGTCCACCCTCAGTATGGGTTCTGGGGCTGCTGGCCACTCCTCGCTGAAGAGCATCAAGCCGCCTTCCTCAAAGGCTCTTCAATTACAGTAACATTGATGCCTGAACTTGCATCTTTAAACACTTATTTCAGGGGTTGGGAGCTTCTGGGACCATATCTTTAATGCAGCCTTTCTTATAATAGTCTTTTCACTTCCTCTTACCAAGCAGTGTCAAAGAATCATTTGCTCTTCATGGAGAGTCAGAAAAATGCAAAACAGAGTGGACCGGTAAAAAATACTGGTTACTCAGTAGGACCTTTGTTTGTGTGTTAAAATGTAAGCAATATTTTTTTAGCCCTTCATAATTCTCACTCCTACCAGACTTCACTAACTGGAAAGAAAAGCACCTTCCAAACAGTGAAGCAGACCTGGTTAGCGACCCTAATTATTTTAAATATAACGAGAATACTTTCTAGACCAGCAAATTCTTCAAAACACACTGGTTAAAACCCGAGGACTAAAAGTTAGGCGATTTTTGCCTGGCGTGCCTCAGTGGTTGAGCATTAACCTGTGAACCAGGAGATCACCGTTCAATTCCTGGTCAGGGCACATACCCCAGTTGCGGGCTTGATCCCCAGTAGGCGGGGCATGCAGGAGGCAGCCAATCCATGATTCTCTCTCATCTTTGATGTTTCTACCTCTTTCCCTCTGCCTTCCTATCTGAAATCAATAAAAATATATTAAAAATTAGGTGACTTTTATTTTTTAATATTTTTATTGATTTCAGAGAGTAAAGGAGAGGGGGAGAGAGAGATAGAAATCAATGAGAAGAGAAAATCTGATCGGCTGCCATCTGCACACCCCCTACTGGGGATCGAGCCTGCAACCGGGGTATGTGCCCTGACCGGGAATCAAACCCAGGACCCTTCAGTCTGCAGGCCGACGCTCTACCCACTGAGCCGCACAGGCTAGGCCAGCAAGAGGGATTTTAATTTCAGGCTTTTTCCTTC